ATACATCCATATATACATACATACACACACATACATATGTTCTTGAGTATCATAGAGGTGATAGCAGGTAGATGTTTTGGTGAGCTATCATATTTCAAGGATTTTGGTCTATTCTGAGAATTCTGGACTTCGATTCCTATTATTTTAAAAGACACAACAGTCGATTACAGACCGAAGAGACTATCACGCGTGTATTGTGAGGTATATTACAGAGCTAAGCGGAACCACGCTGTATGGCTGCCGTCACAGATCTATCTTCTGCTACAGACACATCGGCGCAATAGAATGGGTAGCGCATAGTCAATGTATCATCCAGCAAAGAGGACCAGTTCGGTACGAACCAACCCTACGCGTCAAATGTTCATCAAGCCACGCACAAACCATTAAAAAAACGTCGAGAGAAAATGTGTCACAGGGTCAAAAATGACATCGATCATGCACAGGTAGTGTGGGTTAATGGTCTAGTACAGCGACACATCGTCGCAGTAGAATGTATAGCGCAGAAACCGTCGGCGCCTACTTCGCTCAGTCCAGGCCAGTGCACATCACGCCTGCACGAATGCACGCACAGGCTTCTATGTAATCGGCAAATAATAGACACTTTCAACAAACATATATACAAACAATCCACTCAGAGTTCCCTGTAGGTGACTTACCATTCCAGCCACGGATGGGCACGACGAACGGCCTGGAGAGGATTGCGCGCACTCGGGCTTCCTATATATGGCAATCATAATACGTCAGAGATAATCTATTTATAGTTTGGTGGGTTGTGTATGCCGATAGAATTCAAGTCGCCGTTGTGTCCTCTACTGTTCTTTGTATAGTGTGATGATGTACTAGGTGATCCTAGCCACAACGTATATGGTCTGGAACTTATGACTAGAAGATGAGGGTACATACACGACCATCAGGTGCTGGCAGCAAACCACACAGGTCTTGCTGAGGGCGAGAACAACACTGTAACATTATTACGCACGAGTCATACAACAACACAGGCAATACAAACCACTTGCAAAGCTCAACAGTATACTATAAATGGTTAGGAATGCAACCAATGCAACCAATGCAACGAACCAAGGCAATCGGAGGAGGCGATCGATGTGCGTGACCGTCAATGTACTTGTAGCACATGAGAGAAATAGCCAGATAGCTCGGAACGGACGGAATCAGTTGAGAGTATAGACCCTCCTCTGGCACGAACTGTTTGGCACCTTGGGAGAAGGTTTAAGCATACAACCTACCCGTACAGACACGAAACCAGGATTTTCTTCGTGCACTACAAGCGCTTCATCTGCGCGCGATACGAGAAGGTACTTACCTTCGCACACACAACGAGTAATACGCAAACTTCACTGCCCATACAACTTATGCACTAAAGTCTTGGAGGATTGCGAAGTATGGGTGACACCTCCATTCATGCATGCACGTCTATATCACACACAATCAACACTGTGCACACATCACGCGGATCTGAGCACTCTGCAGGAGATAAACATCTGCTACGCACACTACCAAGCCAACTACATGTTCCGTTAAACTGTGGTTGCGATGTGGGGGTTGCGATGTGTTGGTTACACCCACACCCATAGTACCACGGCTAGACCATAAAAACACTACATCCTCTTGCACGCACCACACGAGTCCAAGCATGTGGCACGTGTAGAGAACTTTCTGTGCACATTACAACACCACCTACATGTTCCGTTAAAGATTCGGGCGATGAGCCGCTCAGAACCAGCGTCTGAGATTGGGATGTGTTAGTTATATCCGCACCCATACTTCTGCGCCTGGGGATCTTCTTGGCCGAGTGCATAGGTACTTGTGTGAGATCATTCTCGTCCCGCTTTCCGCCGAACGACAAGCGCTGGCTCGGGGCCATGCTTCGTCTCTGTTTGTTAAAGATAGTAGATACGAAACTTAGTAGTATGTGGTTGTTTGATTGAAACATACCTGTATCGTCTTTGAAGTAGATGTATGCGCATATCTGTACGTTTTGCGAAGATAGATCTCACTCGGTTGAGTGTGTGACAATATGATTCGATATCATACCGCTTTCCAGCCCGCTTCTGACCGAAGGACAAAAGCTGGCGGGGTGCCATACTTCGCATATACTGACGTATGAAACATTCGGCCAATCCCGATATGAATGCCAATATGAGTCAAATAAAACTGCATGCAGAACATGCAAGCTGCCTGAGCTTGCGGACAAAATAGAAGAATACCTCACAGATTTTGAGAGCGTATAGTGTATGTTAACACACTGCCGCGTCACCTTAATACAGCTCTAGCACGGTACCTGCGACTTATGATAACACACTGCCGCGTCACCCAAATACAACTTAGTACGGTACCGGCGACTTTTAGCACGAAAGTATATAGACCGCATCGACACCTCGATATACAGAAATGTGTAGGTGTGTGTGCGTGGGAGTACATACTCCTATCTGCGCATCACAGACACATGCACTAATTGATTACATATATATTTATACATACA